TACTACAGTCGTACTACCACGTCGCCAGTTCTCAGCTTCCAGCTCCCCAGCTCCTCCGCGTACTAAAGTTGCACTACAAAGTCGCCAGTGCTCAGCTTCCAGCTCCACAGCTTGCTCCGCTCGAATCGCACTGTCGCCTGCGTTTCGCGCACTCAACACGCACGATCTCCGCAGAGGGTCGCGCGGTGATTTCATAAAGCGCGCTCTCGCCTGCATTTCGCGCACTCGACACGCATGATCTCCGCAGAGGGTTGCGCGGGCAGCCGGCAAATCGCACTCTCGCCTGCACTTCGCTCACTCGACACGCACGATCTCCGCAGAGGGTTGCGCGCGGACCGGACAAATCGCACTCTCGCCTGCATTTCGCGCACTCGACGCGCACGATCTCCGCAGAGGGTTGCGCGGGCAGCCGGCAAATCGCACTCTCGCCTGCATTTCGCGCACTCGACACGCACGATCTCCGCAGAGGGTTGCGCGCGGACCGGACAAATCGCACTCTCGCCTGCATTTCGCGCACTTGACACGCACGATCTCCGCAGAGGGTTGCGCGCGGACCGGACAAATCGCACTCTCGCCTGCATTTCGCGCACTCGACACGCACGATCTCCGCAGAGGGTTGCACTTTCGGTTGACGCTGTTCGTCCCGCCCTCCGCCTTTAAGAGAGAATTTATAAAGTGGGGAAATGTTTTTCATTAGGACATCTCCCGTGCTAGTTTTCCATGCTCATCATTAGTGTGCTTATCATTAGACAATCTCTCGTGCTAGTATTCCATACTCATCATCGCAGTTGCATCATTACACTTGCATACTTTGACACTTGCATACTTAGCACTTGGATGCTTGCGCTCTTCCACTTACACTGGGGTACGTATAGCGTTCATGTTGTAGTGCAAGTGTGGTGGAAGTGTCAGTGTGTAAGTGTAAAGTGTCGAAGTGTCAGTGTTCAAAGGATTTTCCGGAAGAACCCTTCGCAATGCTTTCGGGAAAAATCCTTGACCGCAGTTTGATGTGTTTTGCACATGTATATATATTGAATGTTTTAAGCCAGGGTTGATCATAGATGTGTTGAACGAGCAAATGTCGAAGGCGTGTGCGAAAAACACGGTCATTTCACATGCTGCAATGGCTTGAAAACACAACTGTAATTGCCAACGCCCTTTTACAAAAACAACCTCCCCACAGAGTCGCGTCACAACACGTCCTAAAGACGCCAAGGGGTCCGCAAAACAAACAAGTTTTTCACGACAAAAACCTCTGGGAAAAAATGTGGTTCCTGACAGTCCATGTTTTGATATTTTTTCTGTTCGGGCTGTGGTTCTGTTGAGTTTTCCCAGTCAGAAGTTGCAGGCTTCACAGGCAGAGCCTTCGCGTTCAATGCGCCAGTGCCAAATCAGACACCCCAGCCCGCTCCGGACTTTAAAGATATTTTTTTGTTGATAATTTTTTTCCTGCCCGGGAAAGGCGGTTGTTTCCGCCAGTGGTGTTCCACATGGCAACCCCCGTTTGTTTTGACTCATGTTGACCGGTTTTTGTACTACAGGGCAGGGCTAGGGTGGGCCTAGTTTGCTTGCCTTTCTGTTGTCGTTGATGCGGCGTGTCAATTGAATCTTGTTTTGGGATGGAAACGCCGTTTATCTGTGAGCAATTCATGCGCAGGGCCCCCTCCCCCCGCCCCTGGAACGCCTTTGGGGTGTCTCACTCAAACGTCGTACCAATTTTTTTTCAGAACTGCTTGTGGGATCTATGCTAGCTTTCGTCACCAACCCCGGCCTCAAAAGTTTTCTCATGCGAAGGCCCAAGTGGATTTAATATATTTCAATTTTTAGGTTGCCCCTGCCACGCGCAGGCTTTCCAGCAACGCCCACTATCATTGCAGAAACGTAGCAATTTCACCGTTTCAAGAATTGAACAATTTCCGGGACAGACGGCACACAAGGCGTTGTAAAGTCACAATTTGTTTTTCATGTTGCCCGGTGTCAGTGCCCAATGGGACGTATCAGAAGCCAAAACTAGGTCCACTTTTGCGTGGCGAAAAAAATACAAGGGCACAAATTCATTGGTTTCATCGTGGCGTGAAGTTCAACGTGATCCCTTGAATTTATGTGACCATCTATTTGGTGCATGGGGCGGTGTTTAATGCTAAAATGATACAACATGTTTTTGGTTCAGTTCATGCATGTATTCAGGTTTCTGGGTGAGCTGCCGGGAACCTTGAATGGGAGTTTTGATAAAACGTGTCCAGGCTCAGTGGCCACACGCTTCGTAACAGGGAACAGGGGGCCTGCCGATGACACATCCACATATCGTTCACATTATCAGATTAAGTCAACCCGGTTTCAGCTGGGCGGAGCCTCGGCTGTATACGCGGAATTTGCTCACCTGTACACGCATTTGGATTTGCTCGGTTGCGCACGCGCTTGCTCGGTTGTGCACGCCGCTTTGCTCTGCTGACTGGCTGACTGAATGAATGAATGAATGAATGACGAAAAGAAAGGAAAAAATTAATGAGTGAGTGAGTGAATGATTGGATGAACGAACGCATGCATTATCTAACAAAGTCGAGCGAACACTTAATGCCCTCGAATGGAAGTATCTGCGGCCAAAACTCGAACGCTTATGTTTAGCAGACCCCTGTGCAAGCGAGAGGAACTCTGCCAGAGGGACGTTATTAACACCCCCCCACCCCCCCATCCCAACCCAACAACATCAATCAAATGCAGAGCATCTGTGTTACGTGGTACTGTGGAAGTAATGAGCAAAAAAGAGATCATCACGCAGTTGAATGTCCAGAGGGACGTTATTAGCACGAGCATGTGTGTGGAGACTTGACCCAACGACATATCATGAAAAAATGACATATCGTGTGCACATCACATCAACTCAATTTGTGTGTGCGCAGGTGGGCGAAATCTGTGTGCGCAGCTGAGTTTGAGATACCATGCCCTTTTTAAAGAAAAATGTAATCGATGTGTGCGCAGGTGAGTTAACTGTATCATGAAATTCTGCATGCGCAGCTGGGCGAATCTTGCATGAGGCGCCGTCCGTTTCAGTTCATCGTTATAATATACTTGGGTTGACTTGCAGCTTCTACGGCTCCAGGATGCAGTGCGCACAGTGGATCGAACTACTCACTGGTTGCAACTTGAAATGTTCGGCAGGGTGACTGTACGATGGTTTGCTGGGCTAGTTTCAACAAACCGATTTTTTGCTGTTGGCTTCGAAAGGTGCCTTTACACAGCGCCATGGCCTCGATGGACTTGTCAGGGGCCCTTTGTGCGGATTCAACCAGGCCCGTTGGTTTCAACCTGAACAACCTCTGCGCGCCGCAGTTTATTCTATTGATTTTGTTTTGCGGTCTTTTTGGGGGGCGTGGTTTTCTCCCAGGAGGGCTGCGTCAACTTTGGAAAAAGCTGCCGCGCAGAGCCTCGAAAGATCTTGGGCATGCTGGTGGGCAAAGAATCATACAGTGAATCATACATAATCATACACACACATATATATATATATCGAGAAAAAATATATATATATATATATTTGGCCAAAATATATACATTTTTTGCCAAAGGCTTCAAGCAAACTGATAATCCAGCTGCTCTCCAACACTCAGGCTATCAGTAGCCCTGCCCGAACTTGGCTGGAGTGCAAGGTCCTCAGGAAAGCGTTCGAGTCTTGTATAATTTGGTGTCAGATCCTTTTCTTGATTTTTTATCGTTGCCTTGCATCAACAATTTTTTGAACCACTTCTGTTGAAGTAGTTGTTTTGGCAAAACCCAATGTTTGCGCAGAACGACGAAAGAGCAAGGATGCATTTTCACCACAACATGCACACTTAAGTTTCAAGCCTACTAGCATACCCCGCTGTAAATTTCAAAGCCCGGCGCCAAACTCTAAGCCTAAAATCTTTGGTTTGTAATTGCATTCGCTACACAGCAATGTTGGATGTTGATTAGTAAATCGGTCTTCAATAATGCTAATTTCCCAAAATTATTCCAGACCCCATGTTTGAAAAAATTGTCATGTAAGATGCTAATTTTTTTGGGGGGTGCTAATTTTGTATATTGGACACCTAATAAGGGTTTGAATTCCTTCTGAACCCCGTCCACCTGCACCCCCTTCTCCCTTCCCAGGCAAGCAGATAAGAAATGTTTTTTCCAGTTTTTCCACTGGAAAAAATAGATCTGTTCTTGGAATCTTCTTTTACTTAGCTCCTAAGGCCAATGATTATGATTCATTAGCTGGTATAGGTTTCTCTAGGTTTTCTTCAAAACTGACAGCTTTCCCTACCCACCACTTCCTAATGCAATCCTTTATGTGAACATTGCTCCTAAACAAATTTTCAAGGTAGTAGACCAGGAAGGCACCTGATCATCAACAATAGATTTGTTGCAAAAGGAAATCTGCCAGGAATCCAGATTTGTTTTGGTACTAGTTTATTATGGACGACCACCCATTCGTTTAGCTAGGGGGAACCCCCTTTACCAATCACGATCCAACACAAAGCAGCACACGTCTTCCAGGAATCCTATCCTTGCAAGAAGGGGGTAAGGCAAGGCCACGACCGCGCAAATTGCAGACTGTTGAACATACCTCAGGTTAAGGCCGAATGCTCTTCTTAGCGGAGACCAGTTACTGATTGTCCACATTGACCACATTGAAATCCCCAAAGTTCGGGCCTCCACCATACCCGAGTCACCTACAACTGCCGTGCCAAAAAGAACATCCAGCGCATTCCGACACGCCTGACTCACTTGAGCCCCTGAGGTTTGTGAACCACTGTTCATGCCATTGCTTTTGGAGCTGGAGGCAAGACTTTGTTTTTTGATCTCTAATTTCTGTCAAAATTTTGCGACATGTGATGCAACCCACTGGAATCAAATGATAACGCGTCAGCATAGTCTGACGATTTGCGTTATTTTTGCCAGGTGCCCAAGTCATTAATCGCCATTTGCTGGGTCCAAGTCTTAATCATCTTAATCATTCTGGTGCCGTCATTCGCCGCGTACATCAGCCGCAGAACAAGGTCATCAGCCCATCAGTTGGTTTTTTTCTTCAGCCGTGCGTTGGAGGATTGAGCGACAAATATGGCAGGACAGGTGCAGTATCTCGGAACGTGGAACCAAATGTTGATTCACAAAACGGTGTGGCGGGTTGTTTCACGGGACGATGCGCACACACCTATAGAAATGCATACTGACTCGAATGCCGCTCGCCATCCGGCGACCTAAGGAAACCAAATCCTGAAAAGACGAGGGGGCCTGAGTACCTGTAGTTAAAGGCCAGAAGTCAAACTCAACGATGCGACGAACTGACAGGTTGACGACGTGCGCTCATGTCTGCAGAACTCCTTAGACCTTTATTGGAGAGTGGAGTCACAGCTTGTTCAAAAGTTCAACCATCGCAGGTACGTCACGGTGATCAGCCGTGATATCCGCATGTACTGTAAAAGGTCAAGAGAAAAAGACTAATCCCTCAGGATCCCTGTGACTCCAAGGGTTACACACACACACACACGCCTCCCCGAGGGGAGGCGAAAAGCGCTAAGGCCAGGACGGATGTGCATGTGTGCGCGCAGCAAAGACAACAGAATGAAGACATGACAATGGGGACAGGACGTGACAAAGGGGTAAGTTGTTGCAATGAAAGGGGGGTGAAGTGCACAGGGACAACCGATGTAAAGACCTGGGCGACCGGAAACCTGGGTTGAAGGTAGGTCGTGCACGTGCATACTAAGGGCCGAGCCGTGTGTGCTCAAAAAGAAGGAAAGGGATGAGATGACAGAACATGAAGACAGGAAGTTCAGGAAAGAAAAGAGGAAGAACATCTGTGTTGCAAAGGGGAAAAGGATGAAAAGGGGAACCAAATGGAGGGGAAGTGAACCGATGAAGCCAAACCTCATTAGAAACGCCTAGGTGGACCTCGCCTATGGCGGGCGACTTGAGACCGCTCTGGTCACCTCGTGGCGTGTCCGAAGACTGCCTACTTGGAATTCAACAATCCATCAAGTCTTGACAAATGACTTTGGCACAAGCCACCTACGCTCGCTGCGAGCTGCTCTGTATCCGGGCAGGGGGTACGTTCGACAAACCCCCGTTCAACGGGTCCACAGGGGCCACTCGTCAGGGTCACCCTGGGCTCTCACTGAGGAGAGACACACTTATAGAAATGCGTACTGGCTCGAATGCCGCTCGCCGCACGGCAACCTAAAGACACCAAATCCTGAAAAGACAAAGAGGGGGCCTGAGTACCTGTAGTCAACGGCCAGAAGTCAAACTCCACGACGCGGCGAACTGACAGGTTGACGACGTGCGCTCATGTCTGCAGAACTCCTTAGACCTTTACTGGAAAGTGGGGTCACAGCTTGTTCAAAAGTTCAACCATCGCAGGTACGTCACGGTGATCAGCCGTGATATCCGCATGTACTGTGGCCGCTTCGTGGGACCATCGCTCACAGCACATGGATGGTCCCTGCTGAAAAAGGTCAAATGAAAAAGACTAATCCGTCAGGATCCCTGTGACTCCAAGGGTTACACACACATGTTCAATCATGCAAGCCAATGTTCTTTGGCGCCTTCCAGCTTCAGGAGACCGTTCATCCTTGTTTTCAGCACAACTGCCGTCCTGGGTCTTGTGGCCAATGCCCCAGCTGAACGTGCTTCTTACAGTCACATTTCACATTTGTGATTGCAGCTGCCTTATTTTATATAGTGCATTTTAGGACTATTGTGTACACACACAGCAGGCTCCAGTCACACCGTTTCGACAAGGCTACTCCATTGATAGCGCTGCTTCCTGTCAAGGCCGAAAAGTGCACATAGCATCATTGACAAGCACCCTTAATGTCTTGACATGATTTGTTTCAACAGTTCTGCCGTGAATCCTGGAGGCGCTTGCAAGGCCGCTTGCAATACTGGCATTTGGTATGGCAGATGTGAGCCCCTTGCTCAGAAACCAGGCATCCATGGTAGAATTGTTGTTGTGAGAGCTTGCAAAGGCCATGATATGTTGGTGACACCAACTCGCGCCCAAATGAACGACATGTTTCCACCCGACGTAGCGGAGTCGCGCAGTGCGACAGTGGCTGGTGTTGCGAAGATAGTGGCGATTCTTTGTGCAGTGCTGCTCTCCAGAACCGCGGCCTTTCTTGTTGTGGCGACGATTGCAGCAGGCGTGACGCTGACACAACTTGCAGCCAGGCCGAAGCAAAGAGACATCAGAGACTCGCATCTTCTGGACCCACTTCCCGAAGCTGAAGGAAACAGTTGCACAACTGGTTTGAGACACATGTGGCAAATCACCAACCAACACCCTGGCTTCTGGGAAATGTGGATGTTACAATTTGCAGGGTGGCTCTCAGTGTGCACCTGGAGTTTTTACTTCTCAAGCGTATGGGCGGACATTGAGGGCACAAGACCTGGGACATCAGCTTTTGATGCTGCGGTGCATCAAGCTACACAGTGGTTATTGTACGGATCTGTCGTTTTCCTGGCCTCCGGTACAATTCTGCCATATCTCTCGGGCCCGGCGAGCATATGTAGAGGTGAGTGGACAGGGATGTTTGTAGCGGTTGGGGTGATGACAGTAACACTCATGGTTCTTTGCCTGGCTAAAACGGCCACCTGGCTGAAATGGATGGCGGTCGTATGGGTTGTTGTGGCTATGCCTATTGCTTATCAAGTCCTTGCCAATGCGCCGTTTGCGTGGTTGGAGAGGCAACCCGCCTTTGATGCAGAGACACGTGGTTTGTTGACGGGAATTTTCAACGCATCTCTCGCAACATCCCAAGCGACAACTGCACTCCTAAGTGGCCCAATTGTTGCAAGCTTCAATGGAAAGCTGTGGACTGCGCTGGCTGCAGCTGCTGTGGTTGACGCGGTGGTCCTAACAGGAGTTGCCTTAAGTTCCTTCTCGACTTGGCTTTGTAGACGGCCGCCTGTTGAGCCTCCGGGTAGCTGAGGGGAAAAGTGTATTGGTTGATGCTGGCAGCGTTGGGTCCACAATATAGAGACCTCATGAGCTTTACACGGGCGAGTGTTATACTTTGATCGAAAGTGATTGGACAAATTGAAATTGCTCAAGACTGTCACACCTAAACACCACTGAAACACAAGGAGCTAAGGGCCATTGTGTTTTGTTTTTCCCTATGCCTATGCCAGCCTATCAAACTTTCCTTTGGTACTGGGCGCTTGCGGGGCATCTTCACAGTTCATACAGTACCAACAGAACATTGAATGCCTAATAGAGATGAGGCCAAATTTACCATGCAGTCCTACTGCTGAAGGCAAACTGGAGTGCCGCTGATCAGGTGTGCGTGTTGAAGAACATGGCCCTAAAGTCCTCACGAGAATCCAAGGAACAGCTAGTAAGCTAAGGTGGACCTACAGAGGGCACGTCCTGTGTCCTTGCTGGACAAGTTTTGAGGGACAAGGCCCAAAAATGCTGCCCGATATTGCCCGATCAAAGTTGCCATTTGGCTCGAGGGGGCCCGAATTGAGGCATGAAGTGCCAATTGGAACAGACAACGTCTGGCAAATGTGCAGGAGCGCAAACTTCGCAGTCATGAATCTGCAGGATGGGTCGGCGGAGCATTGACCAAGTCCTTTCAATCACCCACGGCAGTTTTTCAAACAAATTGGCCGCAGTGGTGTGGGCACAGGCGAAAGCAGGCTCTTTGAAAGCAAGCTGTGTTGACGAATTGAAAGGTACTTGGCGTAAATTTGAGAGAAATGACTTGCAATGCGTTCTTTGGGCGGTGGGTACTTTGAGAAGTGCCCGAGCACCATTGCTGGAAGCAATGGCCCTGCATTTTGTGCGAGAGCATTGCCGGGGGCCACGTCCTGCTGGATTCGGATGTTTGTTCTGGTCTTTGAGCATGAGTGGCTGTTTGAAGAGTGATCTAGCTTCCGAACTCGAGAGACAAGCTTCCCAATCGCTTCAATCCTTGGCTGCTAGAGATTTGGCAGGCATCGCTTGGTCTTGCGCTTTCGCACGCCACTCGGGCAGCAGCAGTTTTATGCAGTTGTTGGGCGGGGTGTGTGAGGCAAGAGTCTGCCAGTTGTCGCCGCGATATCTATCAAATATCACGTGGGCCTTTGCCAAGGTTGCGGTTAAATGGCCAAGGGGAAACAGTTTCAGTTTCTGGAGCATGGTTGCAGCACAATTGCAAGAGTATAAACCACCAGAACTGTCAAGCCTCATCTGGGCCGCTGCCAACACTTCTGCTCAGCCATTCAGCAGTTTGCAGTGGACTTTGCTGGAAACTCGCATTTTGAGCCTTGCTAGCCATCATGAGTTGGGCCCGCAAGAGCTGTCAAATGTGCTTTGGTCTTTTGCCCATTTGCTATTCCTACGCGGGCCAACCAACACGCTTTTGTTTGATGTGGCGGTCGCCAAATTTGGTGAACTGCGAGAACAACATGTTGCCAACTTGCTGTGGGCCCTTGCCACCATGCGGCATTCCCACCAACCATTTTTGGACTTGGCCATGACAGCTCTACCACTTCCTTCCAGATCCTTTAAGCCTTCTGAAGTGATGAGCATAGTGTGGTCGCTTGCAAAGCTGCATTGCGCAAGTGTCACTTGACTATTGTGCTTGAAACATCTTGAAACTGTTTTTCTGTCCCTTGGAAAAAGCTTTCAAGTGTTCATCTGGACGCTTATGGGGTAGGTTGCAGGGACGTTGCAGCATGTTGCAGTGAAACTAGAAAGAAAGCTTATGAACCGAACCCAAAAGAACGATGCTGTTGTTCAGAAGACCGCAGCAAGGAAATGTGTGAGGCGGTTTCATTTTGCATTTCTGACGACGGCCTGCATGAGCTGACAAGTCGAAGTTTTTCCAATCTTCTTTGGGCCGTTGCTCATATGCATCTCGCACCAAAAGGGCTTGGTTTTTCAACTGCCACCACCTCATAATTACTCTCGGAATTTAGGATTTGCTAATGACGGCGCGTCTACGGAGCCTAGTGGCTCTATGTCCTCCGTTTTGACATGAATACTTTCTCGTGTCAATTGAATTGCTGCCAGCCACCCTGCTAGGCAGATGACGGACTTGATTTCTACACCTGAAGTCATAGTGGCAACTGCTAGCAGAATCAGTCCTGTGTGCAAGCCACAAGAGGTCGCTAACATTGCTTGGGCCTTGGTGAAGCTGAACATAAGTACAAAGCCAACCATGCAAGTGCTAGAAGCACAAGCTCAGAGAATGTTCAACGATTTCAACCCCCAAAATGTCACAAATTTTTGCTGGGCTTTGGCCGCGGAGCACTTGTCCAATCCGGGTGTGTGGGAGCAAGTGCGAGAATTTGTTTCAAGAAGGATCTCAGAATTCAAAGCACAAGAAGCGGCTAATTTATGTTGGTCCTTTGCTGTTGTGAAGCGCAAAATCGAGTGCTTGGTTGTTGTGGATGCTTATTGGTTGAGTGCGGATTTCGGACATCATCCCTCAACTATTCTATCATTAACCTGGGCATTGCACTACCTCCAAGTCACAGACCCACGACTTGACATGGCAAAGTCCATCCTACTGAGTCATGGAAGACACCTGGATGGAGAGGCTAAGAAGCAAGATGCCATCATATCTTTGATCCATGATGGTAGTGGTGACCGAACGAGTCTTGAACCACATGTTTCTTTGGATCTTTGGGATCGTGTGGCAGTTTGTAAGCCGGCTGGATGGGAAGTCGAGGAGAAACGAAAAGATTACAACGATGTGGGACACGTTCGGAGCCTCAGTGTTTTCTTGAGATGTTCAGTATCAAAGTCGCCGCCCATTTGGCTGGATGACGATTTCCATTACGGTTTCATTCATCGCTTGGATGTGCCAGGATCTGGTTTAGTCTTGGCGGCCAAGACATACCAAGCTTTCTATGACCTGCAGTTCCAGCTGCAGTCTGGGCAAATCTGTCGGGAGTATCTGGCGCTTTGCCACGGTTGGGCGCCCTGGACCCCGGAGACGGAGACGCACTTGGAGTATTCCATCAGCTCTCAGCTGGGTGCCCCAAGCTATGTGGGCAAAGGCAAACCATCCAGAACATCTTTGTTTCTACTAGCTCGATGTATCAAACCAGACACAGGTGATGCTTTGAGCTTGATGCGCGTGCGTATTTGGACAGGCCGAACACATCAGATCAGAGTGGTTTGGACGCAGTAGGCAAAGTTTTGGTCCGGTGTTTTTTGTGGGGCTAGGCATGCTGGGCTTGATGGAGCGCCACTGAATGGGGTTACTTGTTGGCGACTTGCAACATGGTAAAAGCATGTAAAGGCTAAGCCAAGCAGTAGTACTCTAAACGTGGCTTAGCTTACCACACTAGAAGGGTACGTGATCTATGCACATCACACATATCCCATGGTGGTTCAAGGGCGGACCCGGGTCAACACAAGTTCCAACACAAGACATAATTCATAGCGACAGAAACAAGTGTTCAGCTTTTAGCTTTCGATACGTCGCGTATCGTCGCTCTAGACGGTTTTTCTAGTTGGTAGCGGAGCCGGTAACCCCGGCGTAGGCAGATCCAGGGCACCCTGACTTGCATCTCCTTTTCGGGTTGACTAGGTCACGATCCATCCATATCAAGATATAGCATCTATCTAGCTAGGTGACCACCATGCTTATCTTCACCCGAGCCGGCGCGATGATGTTCTCGCTTGTCTTTGTGATCTTGTTGGGGGGAGGCCGTACCCCACCTGTTGCACAGAGCTTGGAAGTGAATGTGACCTCGAGCTCGGCCGTGTCTGGTCCATTTCGGCCGGACCAGGCACGGCCAGACTCGAGCCTCTCGGATTCGCTGCCAAAGCGGGACTCACCGCCAGAGCGGAAGGATCGCAAGCAGGGAGCGCAAGATCCTAAGCTTCGCTCCTACCATAGGGCCAGCCTTAAGACTCGATCGTCTCGGAAGGGTTCTCGGAGCGCTGAACTCAAGAGGAGGCGACGCAAGCGGTGGTTGAAGGCCCGACACAAGGATGCATTGTCGAATTCGAGTGCTTGGAATTCATCAAACGCTTCAATCTCCATCTCGGAAGAGATCAGAGGGATTGTTGAAAGTACGCTGTTGGCGTCCAGCTCATCTCCCGAAGAGGATCTTGTCGGACGCCGCCTGATGAATACACGTATGCCGATTGGAATCTTTGATAGGAGCATCGTCTTGATCCAGTATGTGGCTGCATCTTTGGCAGCGGTTGCCCCATGCTGTGTTCTCGGATTCATGCATCCCGGATTTGGTTCCTCTCGCAACCCCAAGCTGCCACCAAGCTGGGGGCCTGAGCTTGAAAGCAACTATCCCTTCGTCCATTGGAGCCGTGATGTGCTTCTGTGGAGCATCATGAGCGAATGGGATGGTGGCCGGAAGGCAGCAGCGCTTCTCAGTGTGCTGACTGGCAATGCCAGAGAGCTTGCCAGGACGATCCCTCCAGCAGTGATCTTGAATGGAGGCGTGATCAATGGCCAGGCAGTGGACTCGGTGACCTTCATCATGCATTCGCTTGCCCAAAGGTATGCAAGGCTTGGTGAGGAACAGCGTCTCGAGGCCATCCAAGGCCTGCTTTCGTTCGATAGGCATTCGGGCGAGAGGATCGACGCCTTGTTGCAGAGGTTCGATGGTGCTAGGATCAAGGCTCAAGAGCATGGCAATCTTGTCCTGTCACCCCAAGGCCTCAGTTGGTTGCTTCTCAGGGCGGTAGGAGTTTCAGAACATCAGTTGTTGAATCTCTTGGCGACACCGCCATTGAATGGGAACCTGCCAGCAGATGATCAAGGCATGGAGGCATTAAAGTCAGCACTTCGTCGAATGGGCCACATTGTTGAGAGGACACCAGGCAATGTAGCATCTTCGATGAACCGACCCAACCAAAGGTTCAATCAGACATATTTTGGTGAGAATTTGGCACAAAGCCCAGATCAGTTCCAGGACATGTCATGGTCGAACTTTGAACATTATCCTGCAATGCCAGCCAATGATGCA